AGGGTAGTCCTTTTGGTCATCCAGTGTCCACAAATATTTCAATTCATAATATTAAATTCCAGCCCTGTCCCCCATACTCTGATTTTAAAAGCCCAGGCCACATAAGCGCAACTAGAGGGGGTTGGGGGGGAGATTAGGTCCCTTAATACGGCCAGGGTCGGACTGGCCAATATAGCCATAGCCAGTAAGGTCCCCTTGTGTGTATGACTATATGGGGCCCCATCTAATGAACGGAAAAAATCATAAGTATAAAATATATGAACTGTACATTTATATAATATATTATATTTGTTTAATAATAATCAAACATAAAAAAACAGTGTAGTTTAGACGGACAAAACATGTTTGTGACGTCTCAACAGTCAACGTTTCTGTTATCGTCTCATCGATGCCAATTAAAAATAATAATATATATGATTGATCAATATTGGAATTTTAGAGGTATTTATTTTTAGAACTGAAAACCTATTCTTATTGCTTTGAGGAATACTTCAATCAGTAGGTACACAATGATAGATATATTTCCTTGATTTATAAAAATATAAAAATTGTTTATTATATTGTTATTTCAATATTAATTGTTTATATTGTGTCTTAACAATTAACACAATGTGTTTGATTGTATAGGTACATACTATTCTATAAAGCCTTCTACATTTTCCTCCTTGTCTTAAATTAATAAATAACATTTTTAACAATTATCAAAATAGGTAGTTACCAAAAATTTTGATAATTTATTATAATCGATCTCTAAAATATACTATAAAATAAATTGTAAATAAATTTAACTGAAGAAAACAGTAAATAAAGATAAATATGGTGTTTTGAGTAATAATTGTAAATTATAAAGTTTATTTATGATCATTTTTTGTGAAAAAAATTTATCAAATTTACAAGAGAGCTATTATTTATCACTATTGTTGACTGTTGAGGCCCTCTCTATAAGTAAACTGCCGGTGGGGCCCTTAGTACCCAGTCCGACTCTGAATACTGCCCTGTATATCTGTGGTCAGCGCATTATTTGCTTTCCATCTTTGATCCACACGTAACATACCAATGTACGAATAACAGAACCAAAACGAAGTTGTTACTTTTAATGTTAGATTAAAAATATTAAGTTAAGAAAATTACATACGTCGTTACGTTGGTTACTTGATGATATTTTAATTATTATATAAGTTATGACTTATGATTGTCTAAATAATTACAATTTAAAAATGATTATAAACGATTAGACAAATCTAAAGAAAAAAAAATTATAATTAATCTACTAAAAAATAAAAATATCTATATATTCATTATTAATACTTAAAGTATAACAATATATGCAATACGAAAAAAATAAATGAAAACTAAAATGTTATCCCAGGAAAAAATTAATTCAACAGTGAAAGGGTTAAAATATTCAAGTTTGATAATAGGTTAATTCAATCTAATATTAAAAGTAACAACACTAACCCAGTGATTTCTAGCGTACGGGTAAGGCGATCATTATTAGCCGAAAAATAAAATAGTTCATTAACATTTTTTAAACTTATCAGTTTTCGTTATATAGTCACTAATCATATGAGTAACTAATTTTCGTTTTTAATAATATTTAAATTATATACAAGAATAATTTAATAATATAATATTGTAATATTTTTTACAATTATATAATATATTCAACATAAACAAATTCTATTTTATTAAAAAAGTAAAGAAAATCTAAATTTTTTTGGTATTCAATTTTGAACAGTAAAGCAAAAAAACTATTTGTGATTGGGAGTTTAGGTTGGCCTATCAACTATAAATTACTTATAAATATATATTTATGCCTGTACGAAATTAAGTCCTTGAACCGGCTCTGGTTGATTCTGTTAAACGTAAATATGATTGTGTGTGGGTCAGAGAGAAAATTAATGGTGCACTAAAAATCTGACATCCCTTATAAGTGTTATCAATTAGAAGAAACAGTTGATTGTTGATAATTTAACATTAAACATTAACTGTGGTAGGTATGATCGGAAGTAAAAGTAATTAGCAGGGCTGTGAATTTAATTCATTAAAAAAAGTGTTAAATATTACACATGTATGCACTAAAAACAAGCAAAATATGCACTGAAGTATTCAAAAATATGCACTTAAAATTCGAAAAAATACTGAATGAAAACGCGTTTATTAAAAACTGTTTAAATTAATAAATATTAATTAAAATTGGTATACCAAAAAAAATTTTTTTATTATACACTTGGTAGGTAGGTACCTATTTAGTTTTCTAACAAATGAACCTAAAATATAAAAACATTTTAAGCATATTGGCAACGGTGTTGTAATAATAGTGATGTCCCAGAAAAACACGTACTAATAGTTCAAACAAATAATTAAAATCAACTTGATTACATATTAATTTATGAAAAAGTATATTAAAAAGCATTATTATTATAAATGAAACAAAACTATGAACTATAATGGACCGTATCTTAGTGCGCCCCGTGCCTCACTGAACATAATATAGGTATTTCTATACTTTTAGCTCCATAATTTCTGTTAAAATATTAGAAAAATGTATTGAGTACCTTAAAAGTGCTAAATTTGATCTTTTACTTACAATATATTCATAACAAATTATCATAGAAGGTTAGGTACTGTATTCCACATACTTATATAGTTTAATTTAACTAATACATTCTAGTAGATTCTGAAAAAATTTGTTTTCAATACTCTGATCAGTCTGATCATATAAACTATTAATACTTATAACCAAAAAACTACGGGTCTGAACTTAGTTTATATATAGATCTAAACAATCCAAAACATGTATAGCTGATATGCAATCTTTCGTAAATCTATTGACGTTAGTCCAAATAAACGTCCTTCCATAAGTTGAAGATAGGATACCAGCTCAGTTTCTTCAGCAGTTGAAAACACTTTAGATATTGGTCCTAATGCCACTTTGTTCCCAGTGTCATAACTAGGATCAAAGTTCTTTTGTTTAATCTAAATAACATTTAATTTACATATAGGTAAGTAGGTATACTAAATAAAATATAGATAAGTAAATAATATAGTAAGATTGTATCTAACCTTTCTTTCTAGAGTGCTTTTAGATACATAAAATTCAATACAGGCATTACGAAATGTCATGCGTTTTTCAATTACTTCTTTCACAGCCTTCCTCATATTTTCTGAATCCCAATTTTGGCGTTTGGAAACTCTGACTCTTGAACGAGGTATTTCTAAAAATTAAACTATTTGGAAATTCATTAAAACACAAATAATAATTTGTAAAACTTGCTTTAAAATAATAATAAATTTAAATATTATACCTATTATTTATGTTAATATAATATAATATCATAAATGTAGTTAGCTATATAATTTAAATGGCTTATATTTGTTCAAGAGCATGATTATTAAATAGAATAGTATAATTAAATTAAATGTATTCAATTATTATATTTGAAAAAATGAATTGAGATAAGATGGGACATGTCTTCATCTTGCCCCATTGCATTTTTCCCGTCTTACCTCAAACAGTAATAATTTAACTTAATGTTTCTATCAAACTTACAATCAGAATGAACTCTACCAAATTTGCATTAATCGAAAACTAATAATATTTTTTAAAAATTATATAGGAGTAATATTAAGAATAGACAATTATTTACTTACTTATTCACTATTTGATGTCTGCAAAATTTTACATCGCCTATGGCCGTTATATTGAATACGCACGTGCACCGTATCACTTTAATTATTTGTTGATATCAAATAATATTATTAAAGTGTGACCAGCATAGCACATTTTTTGTAAAAAAAAATTTTCCCAACAATCAATAGTTTTCTAGATACAACGATGTCCCATCTTACGTCTAGTCCTCTCGTCTTACCCAGGTTTCTCTATAAAATACTTTTATTGTAATAATTTATTTATATATTTTTTATTTATTTTTATTTATTTCAACTTACAACATACTACATTGGTACATATTATTATCACATAATATTTACATATTCACATATGAAGTTGATAGTTTGATATCTACTCCCTGTAAGCGAAGCTTGTGGCGGAAGTAGGGAGTCTTTTACAAAAAAAATCTTAATAGTAGGTATATAATATAAGGACTGTTAAACAGCATCATATAATTAAATTTTTATAAACATAAATTAAACATAATAAATTGTTGGCCATATATATAACAAAAGAAATATTATAAAATCTCCTGCTATAGTGCTATGTCATAGTTAATAGTATAGTATTAACTAATAATTTTTTAACATGATAAACACAATAACTTATTATTAATATCTATAATAAAAGAGATCAAATAAAATCTATAGAGACAAAGAGACATTACTACGCTAATCAGATGATTTCATGTACATATTTTTAATTGCTAATTTAAATTTATTTTTATTATGTATTTGTTTAATGTCTGTAGAAAGTTGGTTAAACAATTTAATACCTTTATTTATATAGTAATTTTTCATTAATGTGGTATTTTGTTTAATTAATCTTAAATAATAAATTGCCTTTATCCTCTCCTCTTGTTATATATATATTATTATATTCGTAATCAGTTTTATTAGTAAACACTTTAATGATTTATAATTGTTCATATAATTGTTCTAAAGTACATATTTTCAATTTAACAAATAAATCGTTAGTATTGATGTTTTTAGTAATATAATAATTTTTCATTACCTAGGGCTCTTATTAGCATTCTTTGAGTTATCATTAATGGTTCTAGTACATTATTATAAGCTGATCCCCATACAATCAGACCATACAATAATATGGATTGGACTAACCCGAAGTATATCATTTTCAGTCCGGAAGTATCAAATACATTTCGTAGTTCCTTAAAAATAAAAAAACATTTCCTTATACGGTTTATTACTGATTCAACTTGTGGTTTCCATTTTAGATGCTCATCAAATATTATTTACACCTAAATATTTGGCTGAAGCAATTCTAGATAAATATCTACAATTTAGGTTACATTATGTTAGTTTTATTACTTACAGTTATTGTTATGTAATTTAATAGTAATTTGTTCGGGTTTGTTATAACTGGACAAGGCAAAGGGAATAAATACTGATTTTTTTTTATTTAGCATTAAACTATTTTTGGCGTAGGTACCAATTATTAACCCGTACTAGTCCTGCGTTTGCTTTGTTTTCCACTCCCGACCAAGTTTCCCCCTCGAAAAATAAAACCGTATCATCTGCAAAAGCTAGTATATTGCCATTTATATCTATATTTAATAAATCGTTTACATAAATGTTAAATAGTAACGGACCTAACACTGTCCCTTGCGGTATACCATATTTTACTGTACACGGGTCACTTGTTTCACCGTTAATTCTTGTTGTTTGAGATCTATTTGAAAGATATGATTTAAACCACAACCATAAGATATTGTTACCTAATACTGTTTTCAACTTTTTTAGAAGTAAGTTGTGCTCTATTGAATCAAAAGCTTTAGCTATGTCTAAAAATATACCTAAACATCTTTTACCTTGGTCTAAAGATTCATAGATTAACTTCGAAAAATAAGAAATCGCTTCTTGGCAACCCATATTGTCCCTAAATCCAAATTTTTTATCACTTATAGTTTTGTTATTAAAGGTGAACCGATTTAGTTGTATCTTAGCACATTTTTAAATAACTTTAGCTATGGAAGAAATTAAAGAAATTGGTCTATAATTATGCAATTCTCTTTCATCACCTGCTTTATATATAGGGCATATAACAGCTTTTTTTATAATTGTTCAAATGTTTATTATAGTACATTTTTAAAAATTAAGTCAAGTTTAATATAATACATTATAACAAGTGTTCAAATGTACAAGTCACACCACATATTTTGTTACTTCACACAGTCTCTCTTTAATTTCAAATTTTTCTTCAAATTATCCCAAATTATCTACAAAATATAAATGTAAAATGTAAATTGGAAGACTTGATTGAGTAGGTATTTAATAATTTATTGAAAAGAGATGGGCCTGGTCGCCTCATTACTTTATCGAGGGGCCATGGTGCAAGTGCTGTCCATAAATATCAGCAAATATTTAATAATTTATCTAAAAGAGATGGGCCTGGTCGCCTCATTACTATATCGAGGGGCCATGGTGCAAGTGCTGTCCATAAACATCAGCAAATATTTAATAATTTATCTAAAAGAGATGGGCCTGGTCGCCTCATTACTATATCGAGGGGCCATGGTGCAAGTGCTGTCCATAAATATCAACACATATTGCATTAGTAATACAAAATTAATATAACAGTAAATTATAAAAAAATATTACGAAATGTACTATACTCATATTATATTATGATTGTATTAGTTACAAACTCTTAAATTAAGAGTACGATTGAGGATTTAATTAAAAGAAAATGCCTCAAGGTTGCCTCTGTAGGTCGAGGAACCGTAGTTAAAGTGTTGTCCACCAAAGTACCAGAAAAAAAAGAAGATTAAATCAAAAAATAGAAGGTACCTACATCATAAACTTTTATAAAAGCATGATTGTGTTAGTCACAGTTTTGCCTAAATGGTATTGTCTTATGTTTTCCCAATCTAACTATACACAATACTGAACATTAATGAAATCACAAATATTTATACAAAAGAGAGACTGTGCCTTGATTTACAAATATTTCTTAAATTTACTTTTTGCATAGAGAATATGAAGGTGGCCTGGCAGTGGCGCAACTAGCACAAAATCTTAGGGGGGGCTATAGCCCCACCTCAATATTTTACCAAAAGTAACCCGTGGGTTTTTACACCTCCCGATCCATCATCTTAAAATTTTAAACACCATTAATATCAACATTTATTTTTAATTATATATTTTATTTATATGCATTATAAAATAGTTATAGACATATTATATATTTATATAAGATTCATTTTTCTTTTGTTGATGACTGTGAATTGTTCCAAAATTATCTCAAGATCAATTTCTACATATTTTTCAATATTCAATATCGATAAATTACTAAATCTATCTTGCTCCATTGTAGATCTTAAGTACGTATTAATTCGCCTCATGGCAGAAAATGCACACTCTGATGTTGCAGAAGAAATTGGCAATATATTATAGGTTATATATAAAATACTATATTAATTTGTATCAGTTACTAAATAACAATATATAAAGAAATAATTAGTTAGGACTATGCAACAATTAATTAAGCTTAAATACCTAATTAATTTCCAAAGTCTAGAATTTTTTTATTAAAAAAATTATATATTCGATTACTTTATAATGATCAATCAGATGCAAACTACCATTAAAATCAAATTGCATCAAACAATCAGCTGATGTAGCAATTTGTAGAGTTTCTGTAGAAAATCTACATTTCATGTTTGAAATGATTGTGTCCATGATAACAAAAAATGCGTTTAATTTTCAATAATTCTCTGCCTCAGAATCATTTTTGTTGGATCAATCCTCAGAGTCTGCTGCAGTCGTTACTGTAACAGCGTAGGTACTCTTTAAAGGACTTGGTTCTTTTTTTTAATCTGTGTGTACCCGTAACAGATTATCACTTTTGATCGCCAATTAATCAGTGCGTACATAATACGAACGATAAAAACGTGTATCAAAGAGAAAAGAGAAAATAAGAGTAATATAGGACACTGATATATTAGCCACGATTTATAGATAGGTCGAAATACAGCTACATTTTTAAAGGTTTATTAATATTTTAGAAATCAATTAAATAATTTATTTTGGGGGGGCTATTAGAATTTTTGGGGGGCTAAGCCCCCCCTAGTTGCGCTTATGGGCCTGGGCTTTTAAAATCAGAGTATGGGGGACAGGCTGGGATTTCATATGATGAATTGAAATATTTGTGGACACCGGATGACCAAAAGGACTACTCTCCATATCAGGTTTCAATAACTAATAAGTACAAAATAAAATTAATTGAATACGTTCTAAAGTTGCTCCAAAGCTCGACATTATCCGAGTATTTTTAAAAAACATGAAGCTAAAAAAAATCATTAAAATTGTTTTTTTAAAAATAACCTTTCATCTGCATGTGTTGCCAACAAGTGTGTCTTACAAGTGTGAAAGACATCACTTTTTCATTCAGTAGCCCGTTCAGTAGTTATCATTATAGGCTTCAATAGTTTTAAAAAATATTAATCACTCTAATATTAAAACTAACA